CGGCTTTGGCCACCTTCTGGATGCTGGGTTCGCCATAGAGTGCAGCGAGCTCGTGGTTCATTCTTCGCCGCCACTCACCGTTCTCCTGCACACCGCCGAAGATCGTCCTTAGCACACGTCGCTCGAAAACTCCGAGTGCTTGCAGGTCCTCCTCGAGCATAGTCTCGTGTCCATAGAGGACCACCGGTCTTATTAGCGTTCTGTACATGGTACATTTGGTGCGAGGGTGAATCTTTTTTGACCGTAGTTTCTTCAGGAGCCCGTAGTAGGCACGACTTCCACTGATGATGCGCCTTCGTATTTCACGACTCATATTGTTGTCAGCCGTCATTAAGGATCCAAGGTAAACGAATTCCTCCACTACCTCGAAAGTATCCCCGTCTATCGTGACATTACTTCCTAGACGAATCCTGTCATGTTCGGTTCCGCCTACTAGCATGTACTTTGTTTTTGACGCACTCACCACCAGTCTGACCTTTGCTGCTTCGTGTTCCAGGCGGGTGTATAGTTCTGCCACCGTTCCAAATGTTCTTGCGATAATGTCCATGTCGTCCGCAAAGCACACAAATTGACCGGATTTCGTGAAAATCGTACCCCGGCTGTTGAGCCCGGCTCGTTGCATTACACCTTCTAGACCGATGTTGAAGAGTAGGCATGAGAGTCCGTCACCTTGTCGCAGTCCCCGGCGAGATTCGAATGAACTGGATAGTTCACCCGAAACCCTCACGCAGTTTTGCACACCGTCCATCGTTGCTTTGATCAGTCTGATCAGCTTCCCTGGAAAGCCGTTCTCGTCCATGATTTTCCATAGCTCTGTGCGGTCGATACTGTCGTATGCCGCCTTAAAGTTGATTAACAAATGATGCGTTGGGACCTGATATTCACGGCATTTCTGGAGGATTTGCCGTACGGTGAAGATCTGGTCCGTTGTCGATCGACCGTCAATGAAGCCGGCTTGATAACTTCCCACGAACTCGGTCATTTTAGGTGATAGACGACGGAAGATGATCTGGGATAGCACTTTGTAGGCGGCATTCAAAACGGTGATCGCTCTGAAGTTCTCACATTCCAAATGGTTGCCTTTCTTGTGAATGGGGCAGATTACCCCCTCCTTCCACTCCTCCGGTAGCTGTTCTGTTTCCCAGATCCTGACTATCATCCGGTGCAGGCAGGTGGCCAACTTTTCTGGGCCCATCTTGATGAGTTCAAGCTCGCCCTCCTCTGGCAACGCTGCCTCGAGATTCTGCGCGTATGCTAAGCCGACATCCGGTTGCTTCAGTCGCTCTAGGTTGTACCGTGGCGGGCGTCGGTACCGTACATTGCTGATGACGGGAAGTTTTGGGCGCAGTTTGACCATCAACAGGTAGTGGTCAGAGTCGATGTTAGCGCCACGATAGGTCCTGACGTCGATAATGTCGGAGAAGTGCCGTCCATCAATCAGAACGTGGTCGATTTGCGATTCCGTCTGCTGTGGTGATCTGCAGGTGTAACGATAGGGGAGGCTGTGTTGGAAGAAGGTGCTACGTATGGCCATGTTCTTGGAGGCGGCGAAATCGACGAGTCGTAGGCCGTTCCCGTTCGTCAGCTGGTGGGCGCTGAACTTTCTAATCGTCGGTCTGAATTCCTTCTCCTGGCCTACCTGAGCAGGACGTATCTGCTTTTCTAAATAAGGATTCAAACGTCAGTTTGTCGATACTCTTAGTTCGCAAACTTACGCCAATTTACCCTTCCTGACGTGGGCTAAGAGTATCGGTAAATCCGTTCCCGTGTTTCTAAAATCGCCATGAGCTGCGAGGATTGGAAACCGGCTGGATCACCACGGTAAAACGATCTAATATCTTCGCCAAGTTAGTTCTTGAACATTCACGATAAGTGATCACGTTAGGGTCGTCCACAAAATATGTAAGGGATAAGTGGGGGAGGAAGTTATCAGCATGTTTTTAGCTTCTTCCAACAGGGTAAGGGTAACTGACATTTTTTTTTTATATTAATTTATTTGTACAGGCTCAATTGAATAAACTTTACAGAGCCGAGTTATCATTTGCATTATACATGATTAATGTCTTAAATCTAGAGTTAAAGGAATTGAACCGATTACTCGCGGAAAACAAAACACAATTCGGCAGCAATGATTTGTACCTAAATTATTCTTGCAACCTTTGCTAGAAGCTAACATTTCACATGACTTTTATTTTTGATTCGAATTACCGGCAAAATAATAATTGATTGCATCGCAATATTTTGCACATTTCTTGGTGCCATCAATAGCCAACTAAGATGAATTAATCAATAGAGTTAGAATATTGTTTTTGATTCGAAAAACTAGTTGAATTTGAGAAGCACACGAAACATAAAGGTGATTAAATTTCTGTTCAATGCAATACTCTCAAATCTAGTGCAAATTGAACTAGTATGAATAAGAAATCCTCAGAAAAAAAATCTAATGGTAATGTTCGATTGGCTCAGATTTTGCTCAAAACATTCTCGCTGGTGAAATTGAATAAGAATCTAACGGAGTTATTAAAATGGTGGATACCAAATATTGGTGTAAAACTTTTGGAACTGTAATTGTTAATCAAGAACTTTGATTGGAAATCAAGAACTTTGATACCTACATTTAAAAGGCTTAGGGAAAACCGATAATGACCAGTTTTACAGAACTAGTTCCACGATCGTATCTCAGTTGTTTTGGACCGATTTAAGATCTTTAACCTGACACTGAGGAAAGTGTCCCTTAAATTTTCATAAGCTGCGTCGTATAAACACATGAAAATACGAGCTCCATCAAATTGCATAGGTACCTTATGAATTCATACTCCATCTATAGCACATATAGTTTACAATCAAAAGTGTACGAAACTCAAGTGAATTCCATAAACCCATCGTATGAATTGTATTGACACAAAACATGTCCAAAATTCATAAGACGATCGTATGAAAAATACTAGCTCAGTGCAAATTACAACAACAACAAATATGGCGGTTCCAGTTGTGCGACAAGACTTCGTAAATCTGTAAATTGTCTAATCAAAATAGTAATTTATGTTTTGTAATCTATAGTTTTACATTTTTAGATTAGCTTCTGCTGCTTGTAAAGATGTCATTTCCGTGATGATTCGAGGTTTGAGACTAGCAACAATGGCTTCAATCAACGATTTCTTTCAAATAAGAGCTCAATTTCGGAATCAAACTATATACCATCTGCTAGAGGAAAAACTCCCCTACCTGATTGTGTTGTTAGTTTGTGAGACTGAGGTTTTATTTGCGAGATTGAGCTTTCATTTAATATTTATAACAGTTATGCTACGGATACACTTGGATGACAAGCTATGAGCATTATTTGTATAATAATTATGAGCATTATACAACAACTATACGACCGGTGAAAACTAACGATTTTAAATTGGCTCACTACTTGATTATAAAATCGATTAACGAACCCCATTCTTGTCGAAATTCTAGTACAACACTGTGTTTGTTTTGATTCATTATGAAAGTTTGACAGATACAATGAGGGGTTCGTGAATTTTCCTATGTTTCGCGGGGTGCATCGATTAACTTGGGACCAAAGATAAACAGCAAAAAAATAATTTTGATATCACATCAATCAACCGGTGGCAACTAAAGATTTTAAATTCGCTCACTACTTGACTAGCCTATTGGTCCCAAGTATATCTATAAGCGTACCCCATTCTAGTCGAAGTGCTAGATGTTCGTGCATTTTCCTTCGAGGGGTGCATCGATTAGCTTGGAACCGAAGATAGTACCATAGCTGAGCCAAAAAATTGAGCACGTTTCTTCGGGACCTTCTGGTCTTAGAGTTACCTCTATGCTTCAATCATGTCAAAAATATGGTGTAATATTACTTGCCAAAAAGATCAAAATTATCATTAATACAGTGCATGAACTGACATTACGTTGCTTTTACTGCATTTGTTTATTGTTGTGGCCATACACATTGTTTGAGATTTTTGACATGAATGGAATGCATCCTCTTGGATGTAATATTAAATTTTTTTTTCTGTGTAGTACCACAGCTCAGTCAAAATGTTGAGCACGTTTCTTTGGGATCTTCTGGTCTTAGAGTTACCTCTATGATTTTACTACGATGTTCAAATCACAATGCCTGAAACCTTGTACATGCATTTTGTCACTTGTACTCCCCGAAAACACGATTCTTCAAGTACATGAATGTACTATATAAAGTACTTCATGCATCAATGATGACTAACATTTGACTTAGCTCCCATCTAAGTACTACAACTTTTATTTAAATCTGCCTAAAAAACCGGGCGTAATCGTGAATCGATAAAGCATTACTGACGCTGTTTTATTTGTTAAACAATTGTAACCTTGTGTACTAAACCAATGAATGATCTCAGAGCAATTCGTCACCCCTTGATTCCCCATAATCAAATCCTTTAAGGAGATACAATACAGCGTCCACAAATCAACGGCAATTTTTCTAGGGAGTAAATCTCGGACACTATTGCGATTTCATGCATGAAATTTGCTTCTCTATAAATGCTGTGTCGCGGCAAACATGGGGAAGCAGTTTTATTATCGTATGTATTTACACTCCAGAAAATGCGAAGTGGCAGCTGATATTTACACTCCAGATTCCAGAAAATGCGAAGTGGCATTAGAGCAAAGGCTTCCAAACCGTATTACCTTAATGTTTATCTTTATGAAACCGTTTCTTGTTCTCACTTGCAACCGTCATTTCTCCAATAAACTTTATTAGCATTTATGAATAACCAACCAATCAAAACGATCAAGAGAAGCGAAAGGCAGCATCAGTCCAAAACAAAAAAAAAACACCGGCCATAAAGAAGCCAAAAAGCACATGTCATCATCGAAAACTATATTTTGATTGATAAATTGTAACCCTCGGACACCTCGCCTATTCATCGGTCCTAATTTCTGCTTTCTTTTCTCGTTTCTCAATCTCTCACCGTCCTCCGTGCGTGCGTGTATGCAAATCTGCGCCACACATGTAGGAGCGGCTCACTAGTCATGGAGGCATAGGACTCTCAGGTGGTAGTCCGGCATATACCACACACACCGGGGGCCATACGGGCCGCAACGGACCGACCAGTGGACACGGCGGCAGTCACGGAAGTTCGCACGGTCCCGGACCTACGATGCACCACCAGACGCTGCAGTCGGACTTTCAACCCCCGTACTTCCCGCCTCCTTTCCATCACACCACCCAGAGCCCGCCCCAACAACAGGTTTGTCCGATGTCCCAGATGGCATAAGTCGACTTTTTTGGTCTAACCGAAATTCTCATCCCCCACAGAACCATGGCTTGGATTACCTAAGCACAGACCCGTACGGGCAGCCGCTGTCCTCGCTTCATCACGCTCCCCTGCATCACTACAACCAGCTGGCTGGTTTGAGACCGTCACAGGAGCAACTAGGACTACACCGATCACATCGAGAATCCGAACTGCAACAGCACGTGGTAAGTATCTAGCTACGATGAAACCAAAACCAAACGAACCTCCATCCCATTCGTGAGCGCGAAAATCCCAACCTCCAGCGTAGCACTTTCAACTTCCAACTGTCAAAAACCTCTGTAATAAAATTGAAATATTTGTCCAAACAGACTCCCTGACCGAAAACAACCGCGAGAACAGAGAGCACGAAATCAATAACATGAAATCACGCTTTTTTGTTAATTAATTTTTGAAAACGTACAGCGCCTGGGCAACCTGTCCCGGGCCCGCCAGTCCTAGTGGGCTGTCTTCGTCGTCGTTATCGATTAAATAGAGACGCACAACGATCGACCGACAGGCTACTAAATACTAGCCCCAGTCAAAGTGGACTCATCATTATAGCCAGCACACACACACACGTGACCCGTTATAGTTTTGAACCCTGAGCGCAATGCGCTCGCTCTCACGGGGGTAGGACCAAACCGTCCACGGGTGTGGGGCAGGAGGTCCGCGCACATGTCCAAATAAAAATACGAAAGTCATGTTAACGTTGTTAGTAGGAGAGCGAGATCTTGATCGTGTCATGTCACGCGGAGGCATCGCGATGGAATGCTTCATTTTATTTTATTTTTTCGTTACTTCCAATTTTCGGATTTTTAAATAAACTGCTGCAGCAAGAGATTCAGATTGTTGGAGACCCTTGGGGAGGCGCGTTCCGTGAGTTGGTGTGGACCCGCGGAAAATGGGCTACTTATCTACGGTTGAGTTTTAGTGAGCGGTCGTTTCTCATGTAATTAAATTTTTTGAAGCTGACAAGTGATTTCTCCTCTTTTTTTTTGTAACGAAAGTTCACTTCCGCTTGGTGCCTTTGAACGTGTCGAGTACACGTGTCAGTCGCTAGCAATTCACTAAAAATTGAAATAGGGAAAGCATTTTGAAGGGATGGCTAAGGTGAATCGCTGAGGAAACCTTATTTCAGATTACTCTCATTATCACCTCGAAATTTCAAGAGCACAAATATCAGCTCTCACAAAACGTATAACTATCAATCTGAAACTCACCGTTTGCTGCAGTTCAGGGGAGTGAGTTCCAATTTGTTGAGCAATGTTACTACAGAATCTGAGATTTGTGCTCTAGAAAACTCGAAGTGATAGGGCACATCAGCCATCATGACGACCATTTTTGGACTCTTCGAGGGATCACCTTAAGGAATTGAACCATCGTAAAAAGTCCGATCAAGCTTCTTGAACTGTCAAATTGTTTTTACTCGCATCATCATGGAATAGAGATTATCACGCACGATTGCATTTCAATTACCATGGAGTTGATTATAAGTTGATTCCTTTGTAAACCAAAGATGATGTTCATTATGCTCTTGAATATCTGACTACTTCTATAGTTGAAACAAGAGCTGCCTCAGTACCAAAATGCGAGGTTAAATTCGATTCAATTATAATAGCCGACAATCTTCGGCTCTTGATCCGTCTGAAGAATGTCCTTAGGAGGCAATACCAAAGAAAACGCGAACCTGCCATGAAAGTTCTCTGGAGGGATTTTCAAAAACAAACTAAAAAGTGATTATCTACCCTGAGGGACAATGCTTTTAAAAATAATGTTTCGAAATTAGACCCGAGTTTCAAACCCTTTTGGAAATTTACAAAAATTTTGAAAAAAAAAACCTCAAAAACCTATTCCAGCGCTTCAAGAAAGTGGGAAAATTTTGATCACAAATGCGGAAAAAGCTCAGAAACTTGCTAAACAAATCGAGAATTCCCATAATTTCAGTGTTGGTCCTATTGAGAATCAGGTTGCTCGGGATTATCTGAATTTTCGCTCTCGGGAACGATCGAATTGGTGACGATCCTCGATCAATCGGTATTTCCAAATAAGGGATGACATGTAGAGGCTGGAAATCGATACCAGACGCCATTTTTCAAATCCAAGATGGTGGCCATTGGTTCAAGAAAAACTGTCAAATACCCTACAATACACACATAGAAAAAATCGTGTAAATTTAGGTTCTATGAGAGTGACATATACGAGCGTCAATGTTGAAAAAAAATTGAGTCATAACATACGCGAAATATAGCTTAATCAAACGTAATTTTCGTCAAGCATCGAACTTTTCAGTCTCGGAGCACTAAAAATTACATGACATGTTTGTTTACATCTTTTTTTTTTTCCTTTGTTCGGGACATAACACTACTGCGACCAGTAATTTGATCTATTGTAGTATAGCCCGTGTCCTTAGTTTAGTGCATGTCGTATTACTCCATCACTATTGAGAAATGATGAAGTATTCGGTGTTCATACAGTTGTCATTCTTGCCTTCATCGCAAGGAATCGATTCTAAATGAAAGGTCCCGCTATTTATACCCTTCGGAGTGTTGGAATACCCTCCAAAGGCGCGCCCCTTTGTCAGTCGAAATGGGATTCCTTAGCAATAAAAATAAGCAATGACACCGATAATGACCATGCATCAGAACCCTAGTCTTAACCACTTCAAACTAGAGAACAATGAATAGAAGATTAGGAATCACATAGATGAAGACTAACTAACTCATTTTTTCCTTGTTTCAAGATCATCCTCGGTACAGGCAACCCGAGGACTTATCACTATCAACAAGGCATAAAAAGTAACAAGGACTAAGATGTGTTCCTTTGATTACTGAAAAATCCTGTACCCCTAGTTTGAAGTAGTCAAGACTAAGATTCGGTGGTAGATCTTACATCCCGTAACGTACCACGAAAAGGTGATCTACCCACGTTACGGGGCTTGTTTACATCTTATTTTTATGTCAAAGATGGATTCCGTCACGTGTAAAATTAGTTATTTCTAAATGTGTATGTGTAATTCTCTTTCTGGAACCAAAAATACCCTATTATAGGGTATTTGACAGTTTTACTTGAACCGATGGTCGCCGTCTTGGATTCAAAAATGCCATCTGGCATTGATTTCCGCCCTCTACCCGTCGTCCCCTTTCCGAAAATACTTACTTATACCCAAGTACCCTAATTTGGCAGGGGTAATCAACTCTGCAAACTGTGCCGAAACACTGTTTGGCACGATAGGGCACACTTTGACCAGTAGGACACAAACAATATAATATAAAACGGCATCACTGTTGAGTGTTGACGTTTAGCCAATCGTTGCCTACTCGGTTGACTACTGGGTTGACTACTCAGTTGAATACTTTGTTAACCGGTTTCGAGGATCGTTCGAAAAAAATCTAAAGTATTCTCTCAACCGTGGCCGGTTGAGAGTGTGTTGTCAATACGGCAGTCAAGACGGCTAAAACGGGTTACCTCCAGTGACATTTAGTCAAGATCTGGTCATCCAATACGACGGTACAGTTCGGAATGCGATCGGCGAAGTCGTTGAGTCTTCCTATGGTGCAAACTTGTTGGATCCCATAATCATGAAAATCAAAACCAATGCACGTTCGCAGTACATATCAACGCAAATCTGGGTAATGCTGTGAAAATTAGAAGCTGCCCAAACTGGGGCTTACCAACCGACACGTTTTCGATTGAGGATGGAATCATAGAGAAAAATGAACGCCAGTTGCCTTTGATGATTAATTTGGAAGGCCACGCAAACAATCTCATCAATATCAAATAAATCAAGACCAACAATTGAAATGGACCTAACTCCATTTTGTAAACAAACCTTGTCAGGCCATTTTCTCGCGAACCGAAACCTTCATTCGCAAACCTAAACCACAATCGGATAGAGGAGAATTTCCCCTACCTGTTCATTATGTTGGTTTGCCTTTGTGGACTTCGGTTCGCGAGAAAATGGCCTTACAAGGTTTGTTTACAAAATGGAGTTACGGCCATTTCAATTGTTGGTCTTGAAATGTATCCCCTATATGCCAGGGATTAACCTCGATAAACCCTCACATTCTCCTCCACATGCTTTCACCAAAGGTCATCCAGGCTTTATTTCAGAAAAACCTTCATATTTTTGGACTAAATTTATATACTACCGTGGGCATCCAATTTCGAAGCGAACAACGAAGGATCAGAGCAGGATTTTTTGCGAGAGTTGAGGTACGTTTTCAAGTTTGTTATGCAGAATAATCAATAAATAAAAAAAAGCTTATCAAAGAAGGGTGGCTTGATTCGAATACCGGTCTTGCCGAGGATCATCCGCAATGGAAATTTTCATATTTTCACATACGTTTTCTTCCGGTTATTCTTGCCAGTCTCAATTGGTGTGGACTTCAATGGGATAACCGCAGGACTTTATAAGGATGTCCATATAATTTTGAAAGAAGTTCCAATACTGCTGTGGGATGTCAATACATATTAACCCCACATATTCCATCAGACCTCTGGACTGGTGTACGATTGCCTTAGCGCAATAGCATAAGATTTATTGGAACGGATCATTGCAGTAAGAAATGAAATTACATTCTATTCTATTCCACGAGCTCGATATCAAGCACATCCCCGTCACCAGATCCGATTATTTTGCAGACGCATCTCTGTCACTATCCTTCTGTAGAACGAGCTCGTATCAAGGGTCCTCAGTGCGATGGGTTGCCTACCGATCGGTCAACTGTAAGGCCTTGGTCATTACTGAAAAAAAATATTGAGGCTTTATTTAAAACTGGCTCGGGGATGTTGCTCCTAGAATTGGGAAGGATTTGATATGCAGCAGGTAACAATTTGATCCATCATTGATCAAACTACGCCTTCTTTCATGTACATCTGCAAGGAATCAGCACTTCATCGATCCGGAATCTGGTGGACGGGTTCATTTTGCTTGAACACTGTATAGGTTTTATGGCTTTCACTTCCTCATCCACTTCCCGCTTGCCATGATCCATCAGAGAATGTAAACAAACACAATCACAATAGTCGTAGCTTTCGGGGTTGCCAAACTCATGGATTATTGACATCTTGATAGGCACACTTTGATTGACCCTTGATTATACTCGGCACAGCGCTTATCACAGCTTTCGGAACAGCTCAATCACTCGGTACCGATTTAGGTGTTCGAGTTGAATACCCCTTGGGTATTTGACAGTTTTTTTGAACCGATGACCACCATTTTGGATTTCAAAATGGCGTCTGGCATCAGATTCCGGCCTCTACACGTCGTCCCCTATCCGGAAATACTCATATGGTATGGTATTTGAGAGTTTTTCTTGAACAGATGAAGGCCATCTTGGATTTAAAAAATGGCGTCTGGCATCGATTTCTGGCCTCTACACATCATCCTTTTTCCGGTTCCTGTTCTCACATTGCACAATAACAACAAGCTTTTGAGACATGACATATTACCGAAGTATATGTGCACACTATCGCCGCGAAGTAAGAGAGTTCTGAAATAATATGACCACCATCTGAAAGGACTTGGTCTCCTGCACAACTTTGCTGAAGACAGCAACTTTCTATATGACCAGTAGAGTGATGCAAAATTTGAAATTTTCGCTCCACAATACTTAAACGATTCCAAATCGGATATTGACTAACCTCTCAAAATTTGAACACATTTGGTGAGAAACTGAGGTGGCACAAACCATTTGAAGTTTGTATGGGGATTACTATGGTAAAACCAAGATTTTTGTTCATGTCTATCTAATAATTCACCATATCGGTCTGCTTCAAAAACTTTTAGCTGTACTTGTAGGAAATTTTTCCAGCTACAACTTTGCTGAAAACCACTTTTTGATTAAATGCAAGGATCGAAAGTTATCAATGGTTCAATGCGCTGATGTCTTATGATCATGCTCAATCAACTGCTCAGCAGGCAACATTGGTGTTTCTGGGGCGTTGAATAGGATACAAAAATCATGGCTACTATGTCACACTGCAAAATACAGTGTTGCCTACAGAGCAGCTGCTTGATCATGTCATAAGTTTACCAATCTCTTAAATAATTAATAACTTTTTCCTGTCTCGTTTTACATAGCTCAATATGGAAAAAGACTGTAAGGCAATGAACAAAAAGTTGAGATTTCCCATAGTAATTTACATGTAAACTTCAAATGGCTTGTGCGAAGTCTGTTTCTAACCAAATGAGTTGTAACTTTGGGAGGCTTATCAGGACCCGATTTGCAACCATTTAAGCACTGTGGAGCGGAAACGTTAAATTTTGCATCAGTCTAATGACCAGGCTCTCGAGATACAGTTTATATTGGAAGTTCACATGCACACTAGCGCTGCGTAGTGAGATAGTACTGAACTAATATGACCACCATCCTAAAGAACATGATCACCTAAACAACTTTTCTGAAGACAGTAATCTTGTACATGGCCGGGATTTTGAGATACAGCTTATACAGGAAGCTCATATATGTCCATACTAGTTCTGCGTAGTGAAAGAGTTCTGAACTAATATGGTCACCATCCGAAATAACTAGGTCACCTGAACAACTTTGCTCAAGGCAGCAACTTTCTGTATGGCCATGATAACGAAATACTCTATGTTGGACCCAAGTTCCATATATTATAGCGCCCGTCATAAGAAACATAAAAATGATGCGCCTCTAGCGGCGTAGTTCCCAATTAATCCTGAATCCAATGACAAAGGCTTGTTGGTCTAACCCAGTACAGCAACTTTATCGAAGACAGTTTCACGCTCCCGATGCCCCCGGCAATAAGGATTCCTGACTGTGTATTAATTTAGACCTATTGCTCCGTGCATTCCTACAGGCGTACATTTGAGCTTATAGGTAAGTTGATTTGTATAGTATTCTCAATCTAAGTCTGAGATTTTGTGAAGTTTTTGCAATATTTGGATTTTTGGTAAGCAAATGAATAGGATCGTTCCGTTTCCCATACAAAATTTAAAATTATCCCGCAAATCAGGATTATAACCAAATCCGTTCACATTTTGCACAGTTGTTGGGGACATCAATACGCATTCAAAGAGCATTGGCTAGCCATTATGCGAAGTTGCATGGCAATCGGAGAAGTTCTAGTCCAAAATCCTTTTTTACGCTATTTGGTCTGGATTTGCTCAATACCTTATACGAAAAATACACGTGTCGCCACTAGATGGATTACTCTGCCATTTTTGAATAACTTATGCCATAGAACTTTTGAAATTTGAACCAAAGCTAAATGATAAAAAAAAACATAACTTCTTCTTCTCTTCTAACTAAGAAAATATTTCTTACCACATTTTCTACAAGAAAACTAAACTTCCCACTCAACTATTCCTAAGCGCGCTCTAAACACACCGATCCGCTTTGAATATCTATACAATCACACACCAGCCCCTCTCCCCCTAAAACCCAAAAAAGCATCCCACGTCTTATCTTGCTTCCTTCCGAGATAACGCTCTCAACATCTCAACAAAAGCAACTTCTTCGCAACATTCAACAGACAACCCCGAAAAATATAAACACACTCACTCGGAACACCACTCAGCTCACGACACAACAGAGTGGAGCGAACCCGACGAGGATATCCACATAACTCAAACTTCCTCCCGCTCGTTCGCCCGAGTCGAAGGCATTCACCGACTCCCGACTCTTTCGCATGCCGAAATTTCCCCCGAGCCGGAGCTCAGGAAAAACCCCCGGACCGGAATGTCAACAATTTTGCGTATCATAAACGACGGAAAATTCATAAACATATGGCTTGGCTGTCGTTGCTCGTTATACGACATTGCAGTGGATGGATCAACATCGATAATAGAGTCATGTAAATCTGAATCCGGGCTGTTTAGATGCATCGGTCCAGGAATTTGGGAAGGCAAATATTTTCGGTTCTTCGCCAAATTGATTTTCGGCACAGATTGATTTGGCTTGAGAAATTGTGGATCTGTCCAATTCGTTGTTTTCATGTCAAATTATGATAACACTCAACTATCGCACTCAGGATGGGAGGTTGGAAGTTTATGCATATCTTTCAGAATGATGAAGACATTAAGCCAGCTGAAACTTCCTGCCTTTCTGCTGATACTTCGAAGAAGCAAACTTGCCACATACTTTCTACCCGAAGAGGGAAGAGGAGTTTTGTTTCCCTTCCGATCCCTGGCGAACAATCTTCGAATGTTGAAATTGTTTTCTCCAATTTCCCGCACCCAGCCTCCCCGCTTGGGAAATAATTTCCCCGATACTTTAGCTCCGCTACTTAGGCCGAACATTCTTTAGCTAATCTTTTGTTTTCTCCATTTTTACCCCCATCCCCATAGACGCAACTCTCACATGGTTTCCCGTACTCGGACCGGCGGAGCGATTACAGTGGATCGATCGGAAGTGGAGCGGGTGCCACGCGGTTAGGAGCCCACGAGCATGACCCGCTGTCGTTGCATCAGGCGCTACAGAGTGCCGTGGACGATGGCCAGAATCCGGTGATAGACGAGAACGCTGGATTTATGAGCGACCTGCCGCTGTTGAAAAGTGAGTACATTGGTATTTATTTTATCCCTCGAATGTTGAGGGTACGCATAAATCTCAAGGTTAGCGGCCAAATTGCGGACATCTATTCCGGTAATCAAGTTTGTAACAAAATGTCATCTTGCCGTGTATGTACTCTACTAAATTTCAAATAACGCATTTTAGGCTGGCAGGACATTGCTTGGAGCACATTTCATTAAGTTTATATTTTTTAATTTAATGACTATTATGAATTCGGATGATTCGTTTTCTTCGAAACTTTAAATTAAGACTAGCTTTGTGCGATTTAGTATCAATATAAATATATTTTTAATTTCAACATTGGATAAGTTCGTTTTGACCCAAGAGCACCATCTTAAAGGTTACATTCAACTAAGAAACTTTTTCGAAGACTCGTAATTCCTGTATAATAATTTATGAAAACATTTGCACGTTTAGATTCAGCTGAACAATAAATTAACGGATGGAAACCGCTTCTGCCAGTAGTCACATGTAGGAGGCCACCCAAGCAACATTTAACGTTTTATAAATTACTGCAAGGCTTCTATAAAACATTATTAATAAAACCCTGGTCAAGATAGCTTTGCCTTTATTACATCCACCAAAACCTCATTAAGACTAGAATCTGTCTAGTTGGCTCACCCTGAAAAAGGTTCTAAAGAGTGCATTTTCGAGACATTTCAAGAATGACTTGCTGCAAAAAGGTTATATGACTAATGCATTGAGAACCATTTGAGATCCTTATTAAAAGTACAATAAAACCCATTTAGCACCAATACTTGTGCCATTTGCCTTTGACGCTTGCTAATTTGCTGATTTGACTAATTATTTTTAATTTAGGAAACAAAATATAGTTATATATTACGTTAATCATTGCTCCCAACCAAGACAGTTTGATGATTTTCGAAATTTCTATTACAGCTCATTGATGAATTGATGAGAATAAAGTTATTGTAAAGGAAAAACATCTTGAAACACTACGATTGTAAAAAAGCCAATGAAATAATAACAATACGGCGATTGAATGAACACTAATTTTCCATAAGCCATTTGTGAAAAAGCTGTTTTGCTTCGATGAAATCGCTAACAAATGCAAAACATTTTAATGCAGCTTTTATGAACATTATTTGCAGACTGAATTGTTTTTATCTGAAGCCATTTTGCTTGATCCTATTCCATTTAGTTTTATGACGGCATTAATGGTGGCAAAGTTGCCTGCAGTTGCCTTCACCTATTGGAAGCAGTTACTCAGGAAGTGAGTCTACGTAACTTGGAACAGGTGGAAGCTCAACCGTTCCCGAAAAGTTTTTCTTCTTCCGGATGAGTTTCCTGTCAACAGTTTTCCGCCGTTCCAGTTTGGCACTGATGCTATTCGGACCATCATCGCAACGTTATTTCTGAAGAAGGTTGCCATTGACAATATGCTGTGTATTCTCATCAATGTTAAGCGTCTAATTTGACGGCTTCCAGTGCTTCGTAAACCGCATCCACTTCGCTCCTCTCAGTCGGCTGCTCTGTTGTTGTTGACCGATTTTGTCGGAGCTGCTCACCCAGAAAGTTCTGGAATTGTATTCCGTTCCTCTTCCGTGGACAGCATTGCTAGAATTATTACTCACTTATCAATTCTTTATTTAATTGTTTCCATCAACAGGCTTCAATAAGCCCCAATGATGTTAAGTAATACAAAAAACAACATGATTGTCTGTGCTTAAAACTTAAACATTACACTGCTATTCACGGTTACCTGTGCCCGAAAATATCGAGGTGAAACTACGGCGAAGCGTCTGACGTGGTACGTGAAAATTGAACACTGAGGCAACTCTGTTGAAAACTCGCTGCAGTCCGTTTATTGTTCCATTCATTCCGTAGTTCGTGCGACGAAAAGGAAGTCTCAGCATAAGACTGTTTCTTAGTGCTCGTGGTCGTACATTCAAATCGATTTTTTCGAGGATAGTAGGACAATCGATTCTCCCTTGCAATGTATCGGCAACAAGTAAAGCCCTTGCAGCGTCTCTTCGGGTCGAAAGAGTTTCCAAACCAATCAGCTGACATCGGCTTTCATAGCTAGGCAAACGGAAAGGATCTCTCCAAGGCAATCGCCGAAGGGCGAAGCGTAAGAATCGGTACTGGACTGATTCGACTCTTTCAACACCATTGTTGTAGCTTGGATTCCAAACTGCTGAGCAATATTCAAGGACTGATCGGACCAGTGAGGAGTACAATGACTTCAGGCAATAAATATCGGTAAAGTTTTTGGTTATTCTAAAGATAAAGCCTAGTGTTCTGGAAGCTTTATCAACGACATACGAAATATGCTGCTTATATGTGAGTTGCGAATCCAAAATGACTCCCAAATCCTTCACGTGGCTCACTCGTTCAATTGCTGAACCCAATAGGTTGTAGTTGAAGATGATTGGTTCTTTTATCCGAGAAAAGGAGATTACTGAGCATTTCGCCGGGTTAACTTCCATTCGGTTCAAGGTGCACCAGTCAGCAAAAGCATGAAGCTGGCGTTGAAGAAAGTGACAGTCGGCAATGGAACGAATCCGAAGGTAGATTTTTAGATCGTCAGCATACGATAGTCGAGGTCCGTCAAGCACATAATTCACATCGTTGAAGTAGAGCAGGAAGATCAAAGGTCCAAGGTGGCTACCCTGGGGTATCCCCGATGTAGCAGGATAAGTATCAGATCGGTAATCGCCTATGGCAACCATCAGTTGGCGACCGGTTACATAAGATCGAAACCATTGTAATAGGTTACCATTGATCCCAAGTCTGTTTAGTTTAGCAATAGCAATACCATGGTTTAGCTTATCGAACGCTGCTGACAGATCGGTATAAATCACATCCGTTTGAGCTCGGTCAACCATGCTATCAGTTACATAAGATGTGAGGTATAGCAGATTGGTGGTGGTGGAACGACCTGACATGAAGCCATGCTGATCATCACTCAAAACATGCTTGCAGTGAGAAAGTAGCGGTTCCATTATGACTAGTTTAAAAAGCTTCGATACGGTGCTCAGTGAGGTAATTCCACGATAGTTGTTGACATCTCGTTTGTTTCCTTTTTTGTGAACAGGAAACATGTGAGCAAACTTCCAGCAAGAAGGAAAAATACCACAGCGAAGCGATAATTGGAACACGTGACAGAGCGGAGTCAATAGACTATCGATATTCTTCTTGAGAAAAACGGACGGGATTCCATCGGGTCCAGGGTTGCAAGAAGATTTCAGCTTGGAAGCAGCTCTTAAAATAGTCATATCGTTGATGTCGATGCCATTTAATGTATCGCCGTGCATTGGAACGTTGCTTGCTGCGAGGTTAACATATTTGTCAGATAGGCTCTCGTCAGTGAAAACATCGGCAAATTTGAAAGAGAAGAGTCGGCAAATCTCCTGATTTGTGGATCCCACTTCACCATTGAACACCATGGACGATGGAAGACCGGATTCCTTTCGCTGCTCGTTTACATAGTTCCAAAAGGATTTCGGATGTGATCTCATCCTGCGCTGAATTCCCTGCTGATATCGCGAATAGCTTTGGCGACTGATCCGTTTGAATTGATGGTTTAGTCGAACATAATAGCATTTTAATTGGAACGTACGGTACTTGGTGTATTTGCGTAGTGCAGCTCTTTTAGTAGATTTCAGTCTACGGAGCTCCTTAGTCTGCCATGGATGATGAGCTGTTTTCTGGTGACTTATCTTCGGGACATGTCTGTCGATAGTATACACCAAAATGTGTGAAAACGTTCTTGCGGCTACCTCAACATCGTGATGATCGAGGATGTTTTCCCAGTCCAAGCTGGAGAGCAAGTCTGAGATGCTGCGGTAATCTGCTTTTCGAAAATCGTAGGAAACAGCAACGAGCGTTTCGTCGAAATCGTGAAGTAACTTGCTCTCCACAGTCACAATCAAAGGAAGGTGATGTGGAGTTGGTTTCACTAGTGGAGCGGGTGCACAGGAGATGAATGGAGCGACATCCTGAGAACTGACGAAACAAAGGTCCAAGCTGCGGTTGTTCTCGTTGACTACATGATTGATTTGCGATAACGTAGACGTACTGTAGCTATCAAGAAGCATAGTGGCTCCACAATGGAACACTGATCGTTCTGGATCCGGATACAGAAAACCGCTATGGGATGGTTGCCACGAGATACCAGGTAAATTGTAGTCTCCCAAGACAATAACCTCGTCAATAGCAGTTGCGCTTTCCAAGACAGCTTGAATTGAACGACAATGGGCGTCGATGAAATCTATATCTCGAGCTCGGTTTGGAGGTATGTAGACCACACATACAAACAACGTGCGATCCGCTAGGTCCACAGCTGCCCAGACCTGCTCTACGCTGTTCCACAGATCATTTTCAATTGCTCTGGCTTTCAATTCAGAACCGACAGCCAAGAGGACACCACCTCCAGTTGATTTTCGGCTGTTGCGGGGGTTACGATCACAACGGAAAACCTCGTATTCAGATCCAAACACTTGATTGGAGATCGTGCGGGAGTCGAGCCAAGTCTCTGTGAGAGCAATAATATTATAGCATCGGTCAGATACGGATATACGATAGTCTTCAACGTTCGAGTTCATCCCGCCTACGTTCTGATAGTAAATAGTGACGTCCTGGTTAGTACTAGCAACACGTTGAGAATCTGTGTACACCTCGCCTGAGAGGGAACTTTTGGGCATCCTAATTTCACTTCTGATAACAGCATTAGGGCAGCTCCGATGATCAAAGGCAGCAGAAGGTGGGGCTGCATCGGAGAATCCAGTGGTGCAACCCGCACTTCGAGTGTTAGAGAGTACCGATACAGTGCTGAAATTCGGAATGGCGTCAGGCGGTGAATGTTCAGAGTTATCATTGTACTTGCCTGGCATAGCAGGCTGGAAGACCCCCGAACCCCTACTAACAACAGGACCAGGACGACTGTGAAGAACGCTGGCTGGTACTGGCAGGACCGTGTTAGAGGGACTAGGGGCTTCCAAAATGCTATTTTCAGTGCG